GTTTTTTACCATGACACAAGTTAGAAGGAGTTATGTCCCTTTGACCGTAACCTATTGTTTACGTAATGCCCACTGTGACGTTGTGTTCGTAACAACAAAAGCGTAGATATCGTCATCCGGTCGTCAGAGAAGCCTGTGAATCCATTTTTCGTGTGCATTTTCAATATTCATTGTGAGGAATTGATTGAAATTTTTGTGAATTTTCAAAGTGGATATCAATTTTAAACAGCGTATATAGCAGTGTTTGCTAGTGGTGCATTGGATTACGTTCAAGTTGGAAAATAATTCTCTGCAAGTTGATTTGCACTAGAACTTAGAAGACAAATTATTGGAAGGTTAGTGAATTTTCTAGTTTTATATTTTTATTTGTTTCAACAATTAGCGTCGTGAAAGCCCTTATCCATTCTGCATAGTGACATACCCACTCAACGGCCATTTTTTGAGCACCGGAGTGTTGCTTGGTTGTATACCATATAAAATACATATTTCGCCAAAACTGCTTGATATGAAATATGACAACATTACAAATATTACTAATTTTTTTAAAGTTATTAATAATATGAAAATGACCCTACTCCACCCATCCCCTCCCCTTAAAAAATTATTTTTTTCAACCCGTTAATTTTTTTATACAATTATCTTTTATGATTTTTTTTTTAACAGTATACACGTGTGCACATGTGTATGTCACATACACATGTAGGTAGCAGTTACCTTTCTTGTTACGCAATATTATCGTCTCTCCAGGTGTTTACAGTATGCAAAAATTAAAAAGGGCTATTTCATAATATTCTCCGAATCATTGTATTTATATGCCACAATTATTTTATTACATTGTACTTGCTTTTCGGCAGTACATATATTAAAATTGGAACGATACAGAGAAGATTAGCATGGCCCCTGCGCAAAGGATGGTACGCAATCTTCGTGGTTTTGTTCCAATTTCAAGCGCACAGAAAGAAGGGGGGATGAAGGGAAAAAGGGAGAAAAGGAGGGAAAGGAAAGGAATTTCGGGTCGCCGCTAGGGGCGCTCAATAAAGATAATTAATGCGGGTTTTTCTGCTTGATTAGAAAGTTTAGAGTGCATTATTAAATATATTAGAGAGATTTAAATAGCGGATTTTTAGGGATTTTTAAAATTGTTTTTACGGGTATATATTTATGGATTTTTGGTCTTTTAGGGTCTCCATATTTATTTCCCTGGTACTTTTGAGCATTATTTCCTCTTTTTGGAATAAATATCTGTCTGTTTTAATATTTTACAGCTTATTTTAGCTGCAATTTAGTACTTCAATTAGGGCTTTATTTCAGCCCCTTTAAGGAGTTTCCCCATATTTTTTTGACTTTTATTGATTGTTTTCAAGTCAATTTTGGCATATTTTGCCTTGATTTACACCAAATAATTTTTTTAAATAATTTAAACAGCCTATTTTTAGCTGTTATTTTCTACTTCATTAAGGCTTTATTTCAGCCTCCTTTATTTTGAATTTTTAGGCTTATATGGCCTTTATTTACTGCAAATTAGACCTTTTCTCAATTTTAATCAAGTATAATCCTTGCAAATTGTGTCATTTCTATACATTCCTGTGGTGTAATGGTAACACACTTGCCTAATTTACTGGCAAGAGATCTGGGTTCGAATTCCGGTGGGTTTTTAACTTTTGACACATGCTGCAAGTGATTTTCTCTATAAATTTTAAAGAATAAGACATGAATTTTTTTAATAATAATTTTATTAACTTTCCCTCTGCTTTTTACAAGGGCTTGGGACCTTCTAGCTACAAAATACAAAGTAAATTAGCATATATATACAAAATACAAAGTAAATCATAACTAGGCAGCATTAAAGAGTTTTTTTTTTGGTATTTTTCAGTTTTTTAAATTTTTTTTTTGTTTTTTTAAGTTTTTAAATTTTTTTTTGGTTTTTTCACATTTTGTTATCGGTTCAAGGTGGATCTTGGTCCTCTGGCGGGGGTTCCTGGTCGTCTGGTGGGGCATCTGGTGGGGGTTTCTTCCTCTTCCTGTTGGAGTAGCCTCGTTGTACCATCCTTTGCACCCAGTCCGCGTAGCTCTCCTCCGAGGTGTCCTGGCAGTACCAGTTGCCATAGTACTGACGGTGCTTAGGTGCGGTCTTCGGTTGGTTGCACTTACCGCACCTATTCGGTCCACGGCGTGGGGCGTACCTGCGGACGTACTCTCCCATCATCTCCTTTACGTTGACCTTGCGTCTGTAAGAGGCCGTGGAGTCGGGCACCGCATTTGGCAACTTCTGGGGTGGGAACTCAGGCTGCTGGTAGGTGGGCTGAGTCCTTGGCACCTGGGGGGGGGGGGGGGGGCAGGGCGATCACGTATCGTACCGGGACTGGGGCAGGTGGCAGAACTGGCTGGGGCATGATCCTGGGAGGGGCAGCAATCCTAGGGGGCGAGTTCATCCTGGGCAGGGACCTGATCCGGACGCGGGACTGGCCGGCTGTGTTGGGTGGGAGTCGGTATCTGTGGGCCGGGGCACTGGAGGTCACAAGGGTGGCGGGCTTCGTCAAGGCGGCGGGGAGGGGCTGAGGGGCTGTCATAGGGGGATCAGAGATCTCAATTCCCTGTGACAGCACCCGTTCCTCCTTCTTCTTCTGTCTTCTGTTGTCCCTGTTAAGTATAAGAGATACTATAAGAACACATACACTTAAAAATCATAGATAAATATGCCATTATTATGCAGTTTAAATAGGGATATTTACCAGAGTATCAGAGTTGTCTGGTTGAGGGGCAGCAGTTGAATGCTGGTCAACGCTGACACTCTGGGGTCCTCCGTCACAACCTCCCTGATCCTGTTGTAGGAAGTCAGGATGAGGCTCCATCTGGACAGGGTCTGTTGGTTGGCTCGCTTGACTGGGCCGGTGTGAACCTCCATCAGCCTCCTCACCAGCATCTCCATGTACCGGTTGGTATCTGGATAGCTGGCTGGCCCACTTCCTGTTCCCACGAAGGACCTGAAGAGTAGAATGAGACAATTAAAATACTGTACAATAAGACAAACAAACATAAGAGCACAGATAAATAAATAGCTAAACACTTACCGCTTAGTCTTCTCAACACCGGCTTTGGGGGGAGATTTGGCCGTCTTTGAAGACATAAACCTTCCTTTGGGTGGAGAAGACTTGGGTCTGGCCTGGAAAACAGCTGGCCTCTGGTCCCGGGGCTGCAGCTTCTCCCACAAGGAGATCAGCTGTTCCTGCTGGGTCCGGGTCAAGGTCCTGCACTCCCTGAGCTGCAACAAGAAGTCAGCCAGGGCGTGCACTTGCCGCATACCAGACGCGGGATCCGGCATCTGTTCCTCTTCCTGCAAGAAAGTAAAAAAAGTCAGTCTATACTAATGTTTACTTAACAATAAGAAGCAATAGATAGAGAATGGGTTCTACTTACTGTCTCGTCTTCCTGGGCTGGTGGGTCCTGGGTCGGTGGTTCCTGGGCTGGTGGATCCTGGGTGGGCGGCGGGGTCTCCAGGGTGACAGCGGGTGTCGGCCTCTCGGTAGACCCTTCGGCACGGGCCGGTGACCTGTCAGCACTGCGTTGCCTGACAACCCTAGGGCTGGATGGGGGCCTTGCAGTGCTGGATGGTGGTCGGTCGGCGCTGGCCAAGGGCTTCCCGGTCGGCCTCACAGCTACACCCTGGACGTCGACATCGGGAAGGGTGGGGTCGTCCTCTGCCTCTTCCTCCTCAAATCCCTCGTCGTGGTCCTGGTCCTCCTCCTCGGGTGTGGGGTCTTCCTCTCGCACTTCCTCGGGAACGACCTGAAGTGACTTGCCTGTCTGGGAGTACAAGTACTCGACTCCGATCAGCTCCCCCGTGTAGGCCCTGGGCTGACGGAAGGTGGGGTCTAAAGGGTTCCCCAAGACAGTCTGTGCCAAGTGTTTGACAGCGTGGCGTAGAAGTCCGCTGTATGTGTGACACAGCGGAGCCTCCACTTCCACGGCCTGAGAAGCCCTGTCCTGGTTCCACCTGTAGAGCCCCTCCAGGAGAAACGCCTGATAGTTGACGTCGCTAGCACTGGTACCTGTAAAATGCGAGTAAATATAAGTGGCATTCAACAAACTTGCGACTATAAGATACTAAGACGTTGACAAAAGACAGTAGACTTACCGGGAATGAACCTGTTCAGGTGCAGGTGGACGGTCTTCGTGGTCAGTCCCTTCTTCTGGGCGGAGCTGAAGGTCTGGCAGTCGCTCAGGTAGTGCGCCGTCCTCTTGAGGTTCTCCTCTCCGTCCAGTTCAGCGAGGTTCTGACGGAGTCTGGCAACACTGTTCCCGAGTCCGCGCTGTCTCAGCATCTTCACCACTTCCAGGTCGCAGGCCATCATTCTGGTGAGGATGCACGGAAACTGGAGGCGGTGCCCCACGTCGAGCCGGTCAAGCACGTCCTGGTTCCAACTGCTGAGCTTTTTCTTGCATTTCGGGCATTCCAGGTACTCCGTGGCCATGTAGTAGAATCCTGAGAGACTCAGGACTCTGCGAAGTGTCCTGTAAATGCCCGAGGAGATCAACTCCTGCCCAACGCAGTCTTCCCCGGGACACGTCAACCTAACTCGCCACAGCTTCTTCGGCATCCACAGAAAGAAAGACCTAGCAAAGTACCTAAAAAAAAACAGAGAATATTTAGTACCTAATATAGCTTTTATTTTAATACAAAATAAATATTAAAGAATTAAAAAGAAGTACATGTTCCCTAAGAATAACTGCATACCTGTCTATGGTGGGAGGCTGGGCATACACTAGGGCTGGCTTGGGGGGTGGAACCACATCCGGTCAATGGTGTCGAAGCACATCTCTGGCTTTCCCTGCTGGTTGACACGGAAGAGGGCCTTGGAGATCCACTTCAGGTCACACGGGTCCAGCACCTGTTTCCAGGCCCTGTACACCACATCTACAATTTCGTATGACAGAATAAGCAAGTTGCAAATAATAAAAAACAATACACAGAATTTCAGAGTTCATTTCCTTATTTTACATCTATCAAATACTATATAATATTAAATAGATTTTGTTTATATCTTAGTAGATTTATATACCAGTAAATATTAAATGTTAACTATTATTTTATTGGCTATATGAATGTATTATATATTATGAAAGCTAGATACCGAGTAGATAATGAGAAAGCACAGAAACAGACACCAATATATATTAAAGAAAAAGATATAAGCTAGAGATAGAGATATGAATTTGTGTTTGTATATATATATAAGCTACATAGTGCTAAACTATACACCATCTACACAAACTCACCACTGGAACTAAATAAAAAGAAAATATAGACAAATTAGCTGTGAAACATAACTTATCTATATCTTTAATGTAAAATAATATACACAGATCTTCAAATTACATGAATTTCATTGATATATATAAACGTAAAACAATGTTCACATACCACCTGAGAGGACCTCCATGGTCTCGATGTTCCTCACCGCCTCCACGAGATCCTTGTCATCTAGGGCGTCGTCTGGCTCTGCGCTGGGGGGGAGGGGCGGTCTCCGCTGGCATACTTACCTTCGCCGCCTCCGCCTTCTGCCTATCCTTGTCCACGATGACCTTCTTCTTCTCCAACATCTGGTGATGAACCTCGGGAAAGGACTTCACGTACTGGAGGAGCCGCAAATTAGACCTTTTAAAATTCAGCCCCTTTTAAAAGTTTTCTCCACATTATTTTGACTTTCATGGTTTATTTTCAAGACAATTAATGCTTATTTTACTTAGATTTACTCCAAAATATTTTTTTAAAAAAATTCTAACAGCCTATTTTTACCAGTTACTTACTACATCAGTAGGGCTTTATTTCAGCCTCTTTTAAGATTTTTCCCTATATTATTTTGACATGTATGGTTTATTTTCCAGTCAATTTAAGCTTATTTTACCTTGATTCACCCAAAATTATTTTTTTAAAAAAATCTGACAGCTTATATTTTGCTGCTGTTTTCTTCCTTCATTTGGGGCTTTATTTAAGCCTTCTTTGGCCCCCCTCCTCCATTATTTTGAATTTTATGGTTTATTTTCAAGTCATTATAGGCTTATTTTGCCTTGATTTACTCCAAATTAAACCTTTTCTAATTTTCCATCAGATGTAATCCTTGCAAATTGTGTCATTTCTAATTCCTGTGGTGTAATGGTAACACACTTGCCTAAGTTACTGGCAAGAGATCTGGGTTCGAATCCCGGTGGGTTTTTAAACTTTTGACACATGCTGCAAGTGATTTTCTCTTTGAATTTGAAAGAATAAGACAAGGAATATAATTTTTTAATGATTTTATTAAACCTCCATTTGCTCAAAATTCATACATTCATATATCTAATTTTCAGACAAATTGACACTCCTTTTCTTTGTATTATCTGTTAATTTCTCACAGTTTTACTTATTTCCAGGTTTATTTAGCCTTGAAATTATTACTGAAAACAAAAATTCTAAGGTCAAATCCTTTTACAAGAGTTGCTTAGAATAATTTATATAAACCCCCTTTATAGCATATTTGAGGATGTCTGTAAGTAATTATTAACTCCTATTTTGGTATTTCTTCCCATTTTCAGTCTTTTTTAAGCTCATATAATTTTTCATCCAAAGAAAAATGCTTAATTTTCATCCTTGCATTTTGTGTCAATGTAAATTCCCATGGTGTAGTGGTAACACACTTGCCTGACTTTTGGGCAAGAGACCTGGGTTCAAATCCTGGTGGGTTTTCATTTCTGACACTTTATGCAAGTGATATTTATACAATATTTTAAAGAACAACAACACACTGATTTCATATTGCCTTATTTTGGATCAGAAACTTTCCCTCTGCTTTTATAAGGGCTTGGGACCTTCTAGAATTATGTTGTAATAAAAACATAACACTAGGCAGCATTAAAAGTTTCTTCCCAAAGTTTTCTGTACAAAGTTTGCATAGAATGTGATTTTTCACACTTGAAACACTTGTTTGGAGTTAGTTAAACATCCATCATATCTTGTGCTGGTTCCTTTTCCTCTGTATCAGTCTGAGTGAATTCTCCACTGCACAATTAAGGATCACTGTATTCACGTACCATTTTCAGATGACAGCAGAAGTGTAAATGACACATATTTTAGCTGGACAGTGTCCGGTTAGGCTATCATGACTGCAGACGGTGTATGTCGAGAACACATGTTCACATTTAACTGGTTCGCAGTCTTGGGTACAAGTCGTACCTTAATACCGAGGTGTCAGCGTCCTTAATGTGCTTTATCTTGACAGGACTGGCTAAGTCTTTGTCACTGGGAGGCTTGATGCTTTGGTTTCTCAATCATACACATAGTATTACATCTGTCTACAAATTAACCCTGTTTTACAGTGCGCGCAGCAGTGTGGTGTGTTTACAACTTGAAATTAGACTAGAATCACTTGATTTTACATCAAATTCAACTCAGTTTCACTTAAATTTCCTTCATACAACCTATTTCACAAATGTAAACAAATGTACTCAATGAAAAGAGGTCACCAACAAAATCATGTTGTAAAATATAGTTTCAACTCAAACTAAGTAAACCCCCGTGTTCCTAAGAAGATATCAGACTTCAATCTAGTGATTTAACACAAAAACCAATAGAGCTTCATACAAAATAGTCTTGGTAAACGTCTTCAATCAAATGTACACAAGTACACAGACGATCAACACACAGCTCGAATTTGCACAATTTTAAAGAGCTCGTTTCTGCATAAATACACCGTGTACACAGGAATGCATTGACAAGCAGTTATAAAGTAATGTAAAATATAGATTCAACAGAAATATATTAATCACCTGCTTAATATGTGAAAAAAATGAAACCAATAAAAAATCAATCAAATCAATCAAATTCAGAAAAAGAAAACATTTTTGAGTGAGGCCAAAATTGAGGCCAAAAATTTTTACAGAGGCCAAATTTGAGGCCAGGCCAACTTTTGAGGCCAGGCCAAAATTTGGTTTGAAGCCAAATTAGAGGCCAAAATAGAGGCCAGGCCAAAGGGGCCAGGCCAGGTTTTAGAGTATGCCGAGAAGTAGATAAGGTAGAGCATGTGCTGGACGGAGAAATCATTACGGGGGTCAGGTCAGTGCAAGTGACAATGCGGGAGGGAGAACAGGAACGCATACCGTATTTGACATCGGTTTACGGTAACAAATGTCTGTTTGTAGTTCCTGGGCGACCTCCCGTATGCTTTAAATGCGGTGAGGTGGGCCACCTCAGGGCAGACTGCTCCCATGGTGTCAGGATGATGGCCGGGCACCGAAGTTACGCTTCGGCGGCAGCCCGGCCACAGGCTGTTGGGAGGCCTGAGACACAGAACTCAGAGAGGGCTGTCGGTAAGCCCGGGAACAACGACAAGGCTGTTGGTAAGCCAGGAAATCCTGAGCCTGTTAGCAGGGCTCAGGAGGACCGCGACGGAGAGCAGACTGTTGGTAAGTCTGTGGGGGACCAGGAGAGTCCCCCCGACACTGGGGCTGTTGGCACGCCCCAGAAGGAGTCCTCAGACTCCCCTGCCCAGGCAGAGGATGTAAGTATTCCTCAGGAGGGGTCAACACCCGACAGATAAGGGGGACCAGGAGAGTCCTCCCTCAGGAGGGGAGTCTGGGGACAACTCACTAGTGGCTGAGATATTGAGCGGTACCCAGCTCTTATCTCAGGGGGGCACTGAGGTGTCCTCCCCGAGCTGGGCAGACTCGGAGATGGTTGACGAGGATGAGGATGACTTTACATTGGTGTCGGGGAAGAAGCGAAATGTCGCGCCGTACCAAGACGAGCCCCTCAGTCCCCTCTCGTCTGAGCCCAGCCGGGCTGACAGGCAGTGAATGACTTTAACGGTAACGAAAATCGCGTGTTAATGGACTATGAAAATGTATAATTCCTCGTATTTCGACCCGGACTGTCCCTGGACTTTTCTAAATTATTATAATTTAAGGAGATATTCTCCTGGTTTCTTGTTCTTATTTGTTTATTTCACATGTTTAATTTCTTCAGTTATTATTTATATTTCCTTGGTTATTCTTTTTTTTCCTATTTTCATATATTTTCAATTATTTACTTTTGTTTCTGTGCATGCATTATGTTTTACGTTATCTATATTTGTATTTTAGTTAGAATTTTTTCTCAGTGCTTCATTCTTAGTTCCCCTATTTTTG